GTGTTCGGAAAGCGAGTGCATTTTGTCACTCACTTTCATCTCAGCAACCAGGAAAGCTGGGAGGCTTTCCACATACGCTCCTAAACTCCGCGCACGGGATCTCCAAAGAAATGTGTTGGCGAGAAACGATTTCGCGAACCAGGCGACGTAGCGAGTTAAAACTTTGCAGGGATATTCTCTATACACGTGCGAGACAAAAATTTTAAACTCAGCTCTCTAGCTCCTCAACCACAGCCTCACGCAGTTCCTCAGCCCAAAAATCTTTAACAACTCGGACCTGAACCGCAACTGCATATGCAAATGAACATGTGTTTTTTGGATAACGACCGCTCTAGCAATACTTTCAATTTTTAATGAACTGAAAATTTGCATTTTTTCAAAAAATTTGCATTTGCCATTTTTTTACAAAGCGAGCATTTACCGAAAAAACGACCGGATTCATGCAAAAAACCGGTAGTTATGCACCCGGATGTCCGTGTGGCTCTATAATGTTACCACCTTCATCCCAACTGACGCCCTTCCTCCTGTATGCCGGAAGGGGTCAAAGCACGGCCAATGTGAGCCCAAGCATTAGGCTACAGCGCAAGGATGATAGCGATCTGCGATTTTAGTGCAAAAACGCATGATCGCACCAAAGAGCCTGGTGCTTTCCAGCCGGGTTTATCAGCTACCATCTGGCTTCAACAACGAAGCACTGTTAGATGAGTTACAGTACTATGTCCAGACGCTTCACTCTTACAGAGTGTCATTAACATTGGTAAAACAAAAACAAGAAAAGAGGGGGCCGTATGGCGGTAGTTTTGATTATAAATTAAAAAAGAAGTCAGAGATTAAAATTTAATGTTTAAAATTAGCAACTCATATTTACAACTCAGTCACAATTAGAAATGGCATATCACTGAAAATGGATGCTGGCTTAAGTTCAGCAGAAATTACAGGTGCGTCTGCAGCGCGTCCTCATCAGCTTCGAGTATTTGTCGCCGTGACAGTAAGCTTTATAGCTCGTGCAGTCCTTGGCGGTATCCTTGCAATTGCAGCGTGTGCACGTAGCCAAACATTTAACCCGCTGCACGGCACTGGAACAGTTTGCGGAGGAACAGTCCGTTTCCAGATCCATACAGCACTTTGTCTTCCCAACATCAATTCCACATGAACGTTTGCACTTACGACTCATACGCAGCCCGGTTTTTGAATTGGAGCATAGTCCCAACATAGAAAATCTGGTACTGTTTTCCGACAGGTCCAGATCCTCGCACGGATCTGCAACGATTTTGCTGTTAGCACACAAAGGCGCTTGAGAAAGTTCGGTCAATTGCTTGGAAAAAGTGGTTGGTAATCTTGCTTCGCAATAGCGTCAGGCAGTACACTTGGGCTCATGTGAAAATGGTCAAACTGTGGTTAAACAAAGAGCCAAATTTACGGTTCCCCTATAATTTCAGACATAACGGACGTCGCTTCAGCCGGCGCTACATCGGCATGCCTGCGCCTCCCGCTGAAAGCAAACGCACTTAACTTCTAGCTTTCCCTACAGCTGGTGCGAATCTTGCCCTGTGGTCAGTGCCTTCTCAGAATTTGGTATTCTTGATAAGTTTCAGCAGAAGAATCAAGAACAAAAATAATGCTAAAACCTCAAGGGAAAAGGGGACGGCCTCAACTCTTTGGAAACGCTTATTATACCCTTCGTAACTACGAACGCTTTCAATTTCTGCAGCTGTACTGGATTGCTCGCCTTACCTTTTTTACTCGTTGTACTAGTGCCTTTTCCGGTCCTGTTAGTAGCCTTATCGTTGCCATCCGTTGCACTAGTGTCCTTTCCAGTTCCGTTAGTAGCCTTATTATTGCCATACACTGTAGCAGTTCCATTTGCTTTATCGTTCTTGCCCTCGGCAACAGCGTCCGGAATTGTGGCGAGTATAATTAGCATGCAGAAAATTAATGGCGTAATTGTGTGGTACATTGCGCAAGAAATTATGTCCTGAAATTACAAAATATTGGTGTATCATTTAAACAAAGGCTGGAACGCACCAGGCGAGCTGGTGCGACCATGCGTTTTTGCGTCAAAACTAAAGTAAAAGTATTGCCTGAGCGTTCGTTTCCAAAAAA